TTTTTTTTTTTGAATATATTAATTTAGATCAAAATATAATTTATAGCTACTTACAAGCAAGAGTAACAGCCATTTTGCCGGTGTAGACAAGAAGAAGCAATGATCCGTATAGATAAACATAATTTGCTAAGATATTAGCTCGATAGCCACTTCCCATGTACAGGTATCCAAAAATCACACCAATCAGCAGATGACAAAGCAATCGCGCCATCAATAACGAATAGTCTCTTTTTAAGCTTAATAATTGTCTTTTGTATAGAAGATAGCACTGCGTCAGGAAACCGGCAGGTGGTGGCGGTTCCTTGATTTTATTTGCTAGAATACATAGATAATATAAATCAACATTTTTTAATGATTATAATATAATGGTTGCAGACTAATTTAATAAATCTTCTCGTAATTTTGTCAAAGCTCTTCGATGATTTACTGTCTTGCATGCACAGGAATAGTAAGGTTAAAACTAAAATGCAGATGTTTCATAATATGTCCATTAATAAGCAGAGAAGGAAAAAGAGAAAAAATAGAAAGAAATTATTTTGCATATATTTTTTAGCTAAGTTTTTATTATTCTTGCAAATAAGATAAAAATTTCATTTAGTAAAGCATAAATATATAATAATAGAATATTTATAGATTATAGATTATAAATAGTTTTAATCTATTAAATATTCATAATTTTTATAGGAAATAATCAAGTATTTATTATATCTATTTATATCTAATCAAGTATTTATTATATCTATTTATTATATCTAGTATTTATTACTTACATCCATAAAAAAATACTAAAATATTTTCTTAAACAGATAAATCTTACTGATTTATATAATATTATGCCGCTCTATTCTATAGATAAAGATAAGAGAAATAAACATAGACCTATAAAAATTTTAATAAAAAATAGCAACAAAAAAATAATTATATATTTTTGATTATATATTTTTGGTCATAATTTTTTATAAAGCTTAATGAATTATATTATATATTATAACATTTTTTGTATTTTTACTCTAAGAAACTAGTACAGTTTAATTACAGACTAAGACATCTTCCATAAATGATCTGCCAAATATTTCATCTACTTAAAATATAATTTAGATTTATGATCGAAGTAAAATTTCTGAAAAAAGTGATCTTACTTTCTTTAGGCAAGCTCGTGGTAAGAGCGATCGTTTTCTGAGCAGTTGGTAAAGTTTCTGCCGCTGCCACCAGTTTGTCGAGTGAAATATCATATTCGCCAATTGCTACCTCGAGGACTGAAACAAAGAATTCGAAAAATCATTATTTCCAGAACTATGATTACTCGGTGTTGTGTAGAAATGCGCTTTCTAAGTGAATGTTGATCATTTCAACATTCACTGCGCACTTGCAATCAATCGGTGCAGTTGCAACTTTTATTGAAACACGTTGTTATGGTACACGTTAATACGCGATTGTTTTTACTTTGTGTATTTTGCAAATATAAAAGCGCTCCATAAGTAACAAGCGAAAGAGAAAAAGAGATCAGAGAGGAGAGATCTCTTTAACAATAAATCATACCCCCCCCCGCTGTATTTAATTGCATCAGCAATATCAAACGCTTTCTAGATTTTAATCATTAACTTGTAAATTTAAATTGTTCAGACTATTGCTTAATTTATTCGAGACTATTACTTGTGTACTGAGTCAACTCGCTTGTGCATAATATTGTGCAATTTATGAAGTCTCTTTTAGGATACGATTATTCGCGAAACGGACCACTGTGGAATGCAGCTTTGATGCCTTTTGTTCCGGTGATTTCGTATTCTGTTAGCTACGCATTACATTCATGTAATTAGTAGAATCAACGAGAAATAGCTCGGGTTTTAAAATTACCTTATTTCAATGAAACTACGTACCGAAATCAGCTGGATTGTGATAAGGCGGACAATGGGCACCGATAGAAGTCAAGTGCGGCAACAGCGAACTAACCGAGCCTCTGTATATGCAGTGACCATTAGCCACTACGTACAGGGAATCAAACATCTCCAGAAGCAAGGCACTCGGCTGATGAATCGTACAGATTACCGTACGCCTTTCTAATTCCGCCAATCGCTTCATAAGAGCGACACATTGACTGCACGAAGAGGAATCCAGACCTGAAAAGTCAATAATTCTACAATATCCTAGAAAACGGTAATACACATTCTGTGGAAAATACATTTCGCAATCGCCTTGCACGCAATGTAAGATTGAGCACGAAATGAAAGATTCGAGTACAATCCCCTTGATATCTCATATTTCCATCTTTGCGTTATCTTGAGGAAATTGACTTACAAATTGACGATGTGTAACAAATATTATGTTTCTATGATGATCAATCTCGACAACAGATCTAAGATTTATCGTGATGCAATAACACATATTATTAAGCAAATATAACTGAGACTGGAATTAAGAATGAGGTAATCGGAAATACACATCGCGAATCGCGAGACAGGTGTTGTGAGAATTCTGCCGATTCGCCTATCACGGTATAGTATGATCATAATGTCATAACTTTTTTTAATCATATAATCTGACATGAGTATGCTCAGTATAAAATATTAATTTGTTTTATCGCGTTTACAATTATTAACTACATTACTTACGCGATAAAATAATCATTATTTTTGCCTTTGGTTATAGACGTGACTTGATATAGAGATTTCTAATCGAATCGATTTCTATCGAAATTTCTATCGAAATCGCGTTACAATGTTCATTATCTATTTGTAACAAGATACAATTTTGCGATCGTCAACATCAAATTTATACGTATAAAGTTTTAGAGATATCTAAATGAAATAAATAATTAATAAAAAATATGAGCTACCCTGATGAAAATAAAAATCGAAACGTAAATCGGATGTAATGAGAGAGAAACAAACGAGGTAACAGAAGAATCTTTATTTTAGACCGCATATGTGAGAAACAATCAATATTAAAAAGTTAAAATGCCTATTACGGTCGAAGCTGAATCTTTATTGCTTTAAATAATTCCATCTTGAATTACTAATACATTATATATGTACTTGCATACATACCATATTGTAGTCTTTTCCAAAATTGCGCGCCGAATTATTTTTCCAGTATATAAACACAATTAAAACTACTCTAACAATCGTGAATTAAATTGACAAGCAATTTTAATAATTTGATGCTACCATCAAGCATTATATTATAAAGATGTTAATATGTTAAAACGGGAAGTAACAGAAGCATAAACGAAACTTCTAGAAGGCGAAAATTGGAACAGTGAAATGTAAAAGAAACATTTACGCTTCTTTATATTTTGATGTTTCAATTTTCGTCTCCTAGAGGTTTCATTTACGCCTCCTAGAAGGCGGTTTTGTTTATGTTTCTGTTATTCTCCTTATTTATTCTCCTTATTTTTTAAAAAAGTCTAGACAAACATAAATTTACGTAATAATAATAATTTTTCTTTCGCTTTTTATGCTATAATCATTTGCTTGCATAATAAAACTATACTTATTAAGATGTCATGACTGTTTCTGTGTATGCTATTTGTCAGTTATGACTTTGATAAAATATTCTAAAATATTCTACATTATTAATTAGCTATTATGTTTTCTACTGAGATCAGATTTAATCATAATATCATTTAGCAAAGAAGTTAGGTCTATTTACTGAAATTATTGTACGTTTTATCTTCGAAGTATTTAAATATTCTTGATTTAATTTCCTCTTAATTTAATTTCCGACAATTTATATACCGACTTTTATATAGCGTTTTTTTTTCTTAATTATTTATTTTTAACTACTCACAATCAAATTTTACATAATCATAAAACACTATACATTCGATCTCGTGAAATCGTTTAAGAATTGATTAAAATTTCGTATTTTAATTGCTTTTTAAATACTATTATATAATATAAATATGACAGTTTATTTTTATTACTTACCAGTCGTTGGTTCATCAAGGAATAATACTGAAGGATTAGTTAAGAGTTCCAAGGCGATATCAAGTCGTTTCTTTTGTCCGCCCGATAATTTTCCGCATAACGTGTCATAGCAATGGCTCAATCCTAGCATTTCCAAGAGTTCTAAAACCTACATACGTATTCATCGAACGTAAAAAAGTATTACAAAATGCAACAGGAAACGTCTAGAGATAACAGGAAACGTAAATCGAACATCGTGACAAAAATAAAGAAGAAACGAAGAGTTGATGAAAAACAGTTAGATTCTCAAGTTTTCTTTCAAAACTGAACACAAGATATTTATTCGTTTCTTTTAAAAAGAGGTCAAATTAAGGAAAAATTTACAATTTTATTGTAAATTATTATATATTATTATATAAAATTAAACGCAACAATTAAAATTGGTAATTAATTGTCACAAACCTGAGAATGCTTATAAGCGGAACTGATTGTGTAACCAAGCTTCAAATGAGCGGCTAAAGTCATGGCTTCTCCCACGGTTATGTATGTTCTGATAATGGAGTCTTGCTGTATGTAACACGATGTTCTTTTCCATCGTTCACTATATGGTACTCGAACCTTACCGTTGATCAGAATTTCGCCACTTACACCTGATACACTATGCATTGTCACCGTTATATTTAAATTTATGAAAAAGTATTATAATATACATACACAATTACCATAAAAAAATTGTTGAATCGGGCTTCTAACAAAAAATATTGAAAAATGTATATGAGATAATGTTATATAAAGAGAACGTGAAGTTTCCATAAATATGTTCAAGCGACTGATTTATTTTAAAAAATACGATGTAATATTGAAGTCTCACATATTATCGATTATTTATGTAATTTTTAATTTCAATGTAATATCCTACATTGACTTATAATGTCGTTCATCATGCAACAATGTAAAATGAAAACAGAAAGTTTTTCAATATGAATAATGATAGGGCGATGTATGCATCGATCTGAAAATCGAATAGAATAGAAAATATTTATTAAGACACTTAAGCACGCTGCGAAATTTTAAAAAAATTTTTTTGTCATATTGAAACAAGCACCTAGGCAGCAATTATCATGAGAAAAACTCTTTTTTCCATCTAATAAAACTAAAAATATTTAATGTTATTTTCGTAAGCATCTAAAAAGGTCCTCTAATTTTTTTAATCGAGAGGATGACGTTTTTAAAAAATATTTCCAACAAAAATTTCAAAAGATTTATTTACTGATCTTTATCAGTTTATATATATATATATATATATATAATAAACATTATTCAA